TTTATAATTTTAAAATCTGATGGCGAAAGGTGCTTCCCGAGTGCATAAGTGGTTAATGTAATTGATATAAACATCATATTAAGGTCTTTTTATACCAAAATCACATAACAAAATGATAAAACAAAAAATACAATATCAAACATTTAACACTAAAACTACCGAGCAGTTAAATTGTCATTTTAAAATTCATCTATAAAAACTGCAAGAGTGCATCTAGTGAAACGTTAATTGATATACAATTCAGTTCGCACATTGATAAATCAGTTTCTTTAATAATTTCTCAGAGAAACAAAGTTTCATAATTATAGTGTTAACAAAGTTGATAATACGAGTCGAAACAAAATCAGCCTCACAAAAAATAAGAAGTATAACACTTTTATTATTTTACATGAAAAACACGTTTCGAATCTCGATAAATCCAGATTCATTTATCAAAGGAAGAAAATCATTCTACAAACAACATTATTAACTATTTCTGAAACTTCATTTTAATGTAATTGATCCATTTAACGAGTCTATCTGCTGCTTTGCAAACGAAGTTCTTGTATACACGAATCAGGGAAAACCCACGCAAGCTTGCTTGGTGAGCAACAGTTTTCTTTCGCGGTCATTTGCTTTTTGCTCGTGCTGGAGTGCGGTTCGACGATGTGAATAGACAGTTTTGTTCGGAAAGTTCAGATTTTGTGCCAGTGAAGATCGTTCGGGTATATTAACATTGATCAGGCCCTACGGACTTTTTTAAATCCAAATCCAGATTGACCGTTATTGAGATTTCTTTAATTCTTTTGAGTGCTTCGATTGTCTTAATATCACACGTGCCGTGGTGACGATTATAAGTGTATGTGTGTAAGTGTATAATATACGAATTTCTTATTATTACAGAATAATTTTCTCTATAGAAACTCCAAGAGTATATTTATTGGGACTTTAATTAATTTATAAATCAGTTTTCGTACTGCTAAATCAATTTCTTTAATCATTTTCCAGAGAAACATCTGTTATCTTTTTAATAATTGCAAAAAGAAGACATCAAGAATGGGTCATTTTTACCCGTCTGGTAGTTTTAGTGTTAATACGTTGAATGCTAGATAAACCTACTATAATTATAATGCAATTTAATCAAATGATTTAATATTACATTTTTTCGATTTGGTATATTTTACTCCATGAAATCCTGTGACATTCAACGTGTTCAGTATAATAAGTGATTAGAGAAGAATAATATTTCCTTTGAATTTGAATGAATCGAGTAATGTTTCTGTTTGTTAAATCGTGTTGAAAATTTTCGTTACAAATCTGACACGTTATTCGAAAGCAAAGGGTTAAACTCTCGGCAGTTTTAGCGTTAAAGGGAGATCGGGAAATTTGCACGAGGTATTGTACGCTTCATGAATTTAGGCAAGGAAGTGGCCGGCGTCATTTGTGGTCAATAACATACATGAAGTGTGTGGTTCGAATGCACTTAAAGTGAGGACGTGTCAATATTGGCCTAGAAAGAAAAGAAAAGAAAAAACTTTCGTAACGGTGACACGAGTCGCGAAGATGGTGCACGCTAGGGAGGCTCGTCGCGTTCGAATACGACGCTCTAAAATTGTCGGTGGAAGCGAATATCCGAACTACGACTAGAGAATTAGCTGGAAGGTTGTAAACCAGCAATACAAATATTCATGAGCATCTCCTCGGGTCGGGAACAGTTGTAAAATTCAAAATTACCGGAAACCCGGAGACTTAGTTTATGACTTACGGGGGCATAACCGTTTAAAATCTCGGAAAACAGGTACATTTTTCCGTTTCTTTTCCGCGGCGTAATAGCTTGATAAAAGTTCATTATCGTTTTATTGTATTCGTGCAGCATTATTAAGTACTGGGATGAAAAATGTATACTTAGAAAAAATTGTTTTCATGGGTTACACGCGTAAGTATCGCGGATTTTTAAGAGTCGACCGCAAATCATACGCGAGATTTAACAGTTGAATTCGTTTTTATTAATCGTTTAATACCACGGACGTAGCAGGTAATCTATGCGTTGCTTTTGAATATTTTATAATACCACGTTTTTATTAGGAATTAGGAATTAGAAAGATATTTTCGATATATTTTCGATATATTTTCATTCGTTGCGACTAAAACATGGATGTTAGAGTTAATGATCTAAATTAGTGAACATGGAAAATTATTAAGAATCTAGATGAAAAATTTGGAGTCGGTTATTCGAACCTGAATTTTCATTTTGAAGAGGTAGATAATTTCAAGAAATATACGTTTAGAATTTTGTCCATGTTTTTGAAATACAATAGATAATTCCTATATTAGATTTATTTTACAACTGAAAAATCGTCAGTTTTTGAAAATATGTAAAATCCATTTTTCATAATTCTCAAATAGGTATGGTACTATAGCAGTTCTATTTGATTTAACTGAATTGATACCGAAACTTTTACAGTCGATTTGTTCGTTGAATTTATTACGTAAACTAAAAATTTGAATGAAAAAACGTTAATACAATCAACAATATAGCTTCTATTTTAATCTCCGAAGTAGTTTGTGTAATGCAAGGTAAAAGAATAATAATCTCACGCTAAAAACTGTCATTATTTTTACATAAAAGCAGGTGAGAACGAAAACATATTGTATCCTGTTGCACCAAGCAAAATTATTGAAAGAAAAACAGTATTGGTGACGTTATTCCATGTCATACGGATCAATGTTTAAAAAAGTAGCTTAGGCGCAATTTACATACTAAACTTTTAACAGCCTGAAACAACCAGATAGTCCAAGAATCTAATCATTGAGATATGCTCTGACTAATGAACAATTTGCATTCTATAGTGTGAAATTAACCTGTTGAATGCTATTAATAATGAGTATATAGTTGTGTGCTGTCTTACTAGTTTCTGTTTTGTCTATGTTAGTCATTCAAATTACACCATAATCGATCTGTTTTTATTACTGTTGATCAGGAAGAAACTCAATGGCCACAATTATATAGTCATTAAAGGAAAAAAGTATATAATTATTCTCACAGTTGTCAAACACCTTTGTTTGACTTTATACTGGAAAATACGCTGCACATAATTATAATTAATAATGAAGGTAAATTGAATTTTCCGGTTGAACGAAATGATATCTTTATTGATTTCAATTAAACACGATTATACCTGTCTTCTGTTATTAGAGTTGATGGGACATTTGAAAACGAATCAAAACTAATTTTCACAAAATGTAGTTAAATTCAAATTTATGCGTGTATGGATAATGTTAACGCATTTCGTTTTACATGTTTTGTATAATATTTGGAGTAGTTCTTTATTGCAAATGTATATAGATAATTTTTAACTTTGCAGAATATATGACATATTCTAATTTCTTTAATCTATAGGATTTATTTACTATAGACCTACAAAGATTATGACGAAGCGTTTTTACTACGTTCGAGTACATGGAAAATTTTAAAAATAGCGCCTCCAACTTCGAAGCGTTTCAATCATGAAGCAATACCTCCCACATCGATTTCTAGCAACGCCAACATGAAGTTTCTTCCCATTAAACTCTGCTTTAACTATTTCGAGAAATGTATTAGCTTGAGAGTCTGTTAAAATCTACAAATTCTTTAGAAAACGTTATTTCTAATATGCATTCTCTCATGAAAAGGGAATCAAATAATGTTTATTGTATCGCAGTACGTTGATTACAATCGAGAAGTATAGCAAAGCTTAGCTTTCATTTTCAATGTATTGCAATTATCTATTTAATAATTGAAGTAATTGTAATTATTTTTATGGTAAATATAAATAACAATATATTCAGTAGCAATACAATATAATTAGTAATGCTTTTAGTATACTAATATATAGCATTAAAACTTGCATTACTGATTAGAAATAAGAAAAGAATAATTTAATATTACAACTTATGAAGGGTAATTCTGTTATCTCTGTAACAACATTACAAAATCTGTAAAAGTAGTAATTATTTTATTTATTTTTAATGTACGAGTGTCAGTATAGTTCTACAAAGTAGCGTCTCCCTTTATCGCTAATAGCAGGCCTCGCGTCTCTAGCCGGAAGTACACGCAACAGTCACTCAAACAATACCCGACAATTAAACAACTCCACGCAAAGCAACCTCGCTCACCAAACCATTTCCAAATGGAGTCCGTATTCAAAAATTTCATTAACACGTCCACTACCGCGCATTACATATGTGTGATGCTGCTGATTGCTATTACTATAATGATGTTAACATACATTTGTCATTGTCGATTTGTCTATATAAAAAAATCAAACATATCTAACATTTATGTAACATTCTTCGTTTGATTTATTTACTATATTATATATGTGTGAAAAATATGTACATAACATCACGTGAAACAGTTGTAAGAAAGCCACGGTCCACAGCAAGAGCATGCTTTGAAACGTAATCCCGAACGTGTTAATACATTGTTGACCGGCAATTTTACGCAGAAGCTATTCCATGTCATCGGTTATTATTCCGTAATCAAATATAAAAGTGAAACAATCTAAATAAACCTCAATATACTTTATTTGTACATAATGAATTGAAATGTATTTTTGGATATATCTTTTATATAACTTTGAATATTTTGCTTTTGAAATATTCTATATTGCTCTGCGTTTGAATAACAGAAATAGCTAATGCAAGTGCAAATACGAGTTAATTTGTGACCGGTCAACGTTTGAGCAAGAAAACACAAGTTGACTCGTGACCGGTGAACAATATGTCAATCTACTCCAAAAACTGACAAAAACTCTCCCACGGGCATCACAAACTAAAATCAACAAAACCACAAATTAACAACAGTCACACGTGAGCCATCAGTCCCTAAGACTTGGCAATTCATTACGCGCCATCCCAGAAATAATAGTCAATAATTATCCCCGCGGTTAATTAACGCGTACCTGCGAATCCTACTCCTTCCACAAACCGCAGGCATACGGACGATTCGCGTCTAATCAGTTTGATCGTTTTCGTTCCAGGAACCGAGGAACCGTCGTCCGCAGCAGCAGCAGCAGCAGCAGCAGCACCACCACAAGCGACGGTGGCTGGTGGTCCCGGAAGGTGTCCCCGGGTTTTCACGAGAATCGTCGACCTTTCCTCGCACGTGAGACCAACTCCGACAGCCCGGCCTTGAAGGCGAAGGCGCGCGGGAGAAGAGCAGCGATCGTCGTCGCGCGAGGGAACACGGGCCATCGGGAGAGATTTATTCGAGTTTCGCAACCTCTCTCGATCGGTGGCAGCGGCGGCGGTCGTGACCCCGATAGAGCTCATCCACCTGGCTGGCTGGTTGACTCCGTTCGCCAGGACAAGCCGAAAAGGTTGGGGGACCTAACCGAAGAATACCCGTGTGTCCGCCGCGATCAGTGGTCCCTTGCGCGAGTAGCGGATCGCTACCGGAAGTCGCGCGATGTAGCTCGTCCCGGTGGTCCCATGATTTTTCGTCGACCGCTTCGAGGAGAACGGGACTCTTGAAACCGGGCAACGGTGCAGTTCGTTGTGCAGGGACTTTTCGTAAGCCGGGTTAGGCTGTGCCTGGTCGAGCCATGAAGACGATGAGCGACGAGGTTGCAGACCCTGTCACTGAACAGAACGGTAGCTCTGGACAAAACGCGACTGCTAGTAAGGAATTTGGACAGAGAACCCTCAGGTCCTTGAAGAAAGGCCTCGGCAGGCTGTGGAGGCGGCACAGGGGTAACGCCTCCATCACCGAGTACGACCCCTGTTATAAGGTCGCTTATCTTGGGAACGTTCTCACTGGATGGGCCAAGGGTACGTGAATATTGGTTTATCTGATTCTGCTTTGTGCTCTGCGCGGGACCGCAAGTCTAGGCTGTGCCCGGTCGTTCACCCCCGAGCGTCCCTCATTTTCGCGACTTAATGAGTCCTTCGTATGTCAAATTGACCCGACGCGACGCAACGGTGGAATATGATAATAACCCCTTGCCCTATGATTTTTCTCTCAACTCTGATCGATAAGACTACTTTGCTATTAATAATTCATTGGAAAAAGAGGAAAACTGTAGGCATAGAATATGCCTATGTTTGTTCTTAAGTGTAATAATTGATCACAGGAAAATAATATTTCCTTTGAATTCGAATGAATCGAGTAATATTTATGTTCGTTAAACTATGTTGAAAATTTTCACCACGAGTCTGACACGTTGTTATGAAGGAAGGGGTTAAGACTTTGCGGTTGAATCTTGGTATATTGAAAACTAAGAACTTTAGCAGCTAAATTTGAAAGCTACATATGAATAATTTGATTATTTAGGTGAGAAGATAATTTCTTCCTTTTGCAATTGTTAAAAAGATAATAGATGCTTCTCCGAGAAATTATTCAAGAAATTAATGTAGCAACACTCAAACTGATATGTAAATCAATGAAAGTCTCAATAAATGTACTCTTAGAGTTTCTACAAAGGAATTCATTGACTTCAAAAAGTCAATTTAACTGTTCGGTAGTTTTAGTGTTAAGACTTCGATGTATAACTCAGTTTCTTTATGAAAAAGGTTTTCAAAAGTTTAAAACATTATCGTTCACTGCGGGTTAACCACTTTTTCTGATTTCTTTCAGAACTGTGCTTGATAAAACTACTTTATTGTTGATAATTTAGTAGAAAAGGAAAAGCTGTATCCACGTTTGTTTCAAAGCTTAAAGATCGATAATAGGCAAGTAATGTTTTGTTTATATGGAAAATTAATAACATTTAAATTTGTCGAATTCAGTTGGAAATGTTCATAGTTCGTATGATTCGATTTAATGGGAGAAGAGATTAACCCTTTGCTTTGTAAGACCGTGGAAAATTTGAGCTGACGATATCAAATATAATTTGACAATCATAAATATCACTCTATCTTTTTAAGTTCAAATTAAGTGTCATTTTCTATCTTTCTGTAATTAGAAGAATAATATTTAATTTGAATTCAAAAAAGAGTTCAGTAATATTTGTGTTTATTAAGTTCTGTTGCAAATCTTCGCCACGAGTTTGACATGTTATTGCAAGACAAGGGGTTGAATCGACAAGTTCCATAAATGTAGTGTCAACTTCGAAATCACGTTGTTCGTTTCTAAGAACAACATTGGTATGTATGTAGTCAAGGTTTAAGTTTCTCGCACAGTGGTTTATTCTTGGACAAAATGGAACGAAAATAGAAAAAAAGTTGCTCTAAAAATGGAAAATTTGTATGTAATTTGATTTATTATAGTCTATTACATATAAGTGACACATTTTCTTGTTTAATCTTATTTATACCCTAACAAAAAATTAATATTTACAAATTATTCAAATCTTAAGAGTCATTTTTCTCATCCGTCAGGATAAATATGTTTCAGATTACTTAAGAGATTGAAAATATGACTTAAGAGTGTTGCGATAGTGAAGGAATTATTTAAAGAACGGATGCAATTTACGAATTGTTAAATAACTTTTTTGGAACATATTAAAATCATTTTTTTCTTATTGGATATATTTCAATACTTATTACTACAGTTATTAAACTCAAATGTAGCTGCGGCTACTTGCAGCTTAATCAGTTATGTAGTTTGAAAGTTATAATTAAGGGAGTATCTTCATTTAGAACGACAGTTTTTAAGCATAATTTAGGAATTTCTTTTGAAAAATATGAACGGTAATGTTTGTTGATTTTTCACAGATATATATACTAATATTTAATTCATATTACGAATTTGTTTGAAATTAAAATAAATAAAATTTTAGGAATTACACGTTGTGAAAGAGAGTCATCTTCGAAGATCATATCTCGACGGTTTACGTGGTCCCGATCATTGTAGTGAATGGAAAAAACAATGTAAATTCTCTGTTAGTATTTACATTTTATTTTGATTCACCAAAAAAAGTATGCTTTCAGTTAATATCGATTTTTGTCTCATTTTTTAAATTAGCACTAAAACTACCGAGTAGTTAAATTGACTTCTTGAAATTTCTCTATAGAAACTCCAAGAGTGCATCATACACTACAATTCAATTTGCGCATTTCTAAATCAATTTCTTTAATTTCTCGGAGAAACATGTGTTATCTTGTTAATAATTGCAAAAGAAAGTTCAATTTGTATCAGTTGTAACAAAATGAACTGTAATCAAACGAAAACTAGAATCACTTGTGTCTGTTCTGAAAATGAATTCGGTCCTGAAAAGGTTAATCGACCACTGTACGGTGCGGCGCGCTTAAATCCTAATTGATGACATTCACTTTTTAAAGTGAATCTCTGAGTCTTAGCTTTTCCTGTTCAGCCGTCGCGTGAAAGCGACCGGCAAGCGTCGCTGGTTTTTTTCGGTCCGTGGAAATGAAATCGTGCCGCGGACAGTGAAACCGTGTAATTTTAGGAGGAATCCCGGGGAATTTGAATATCACGGTGACACTGACACGGGATAATGGTAACTCAGTTCTGATAATTAGCTAAGGATAATGTCATTCGAACCGTTAGAAACGTTTGACGAACGTATTTATTGCTCGTAAATTAGGAATTTTATTTGCCCGAATCTTGTGGGATGGCCACGCTGTTTATTCGACGCGAGAAAATATGCGAAGACGATATTTGTAGTCTGTAATGTCAAGTAATTTGAATAACAACTTATTACAGTGTAATGTTTCTTATGGCCAGTAATGTTTAATACTTTTTTGCTCATTGCTGTCTTAGTAAATGAATTTTCTTTTAGTGTATGATGAAGCATTGTTTCATTACTTTGTAACTTTATGTTGTAAATTACGGAATCTAAACATTATTTTGTTATGTATATTTTTGTGGAATAATGGTTGAAATCTTAGATAAAATTCGTGGAAATCCATTTATGAGTTTTAACTGTCGTTTTTGTAAGTTTCTTATTGTTCGAATAATTTTGATCTTAAGAAATTATCGTTTTGTTAAAAATAGTTTGAATGATAATATTTTTCGTTTTTGTTATTTTTTATGTCATTTTTCGGTTCATATTAAAAATTAACTTTCCTCTTTACAAAATGAGTTTTTATAACACTTTTTTTATTTTTGTTTTCGTTCTTTAATCGCTGAATCCTTTCAAATGTTATTCGAAATGTTACTCTAAGTGAATGGAAAATTATTGGGAACGATAACAATGATTTAATATTCTAATTTGCATAATTTTTACGTGGTCGTCTATGCAAAACAGTATAATAAGGTAACGTGATTTATGTTCACTAAACTTAATTGCGCGTTTGATTTTATTTCGTGTAATATTTGCATTCCATTGCAATATTATCAGTCTTAATAAGCAGCGTTAATTCATTATCATCGTATACACTAACATAGAATTAGAAGATGTGTATTTTTTTAACGGGGAACGAATAATGTTGAATTACGCCGGTCATTAAATTATGCAGTACACAAGTAACGAGTGCTAGGTACATAGTTATAAGGTAAATTGAGATAATGAAGTACTCGGAAGGCACCGACGCAAAATACTAACAATTGGCGCTTAATTACTGTTGTTACCAAGCGCTTTCTCAGGGCGTCTGGTTTACGCAAATACATCTCGCGTTTCATTTACGAAACTTTTCGAAGGAATTGCAACCTCGCATCTACCTCATTTTAATGAATACGTTGAATAGCTTATAAGCTATTAAATGTCGTTAATGTTTCTGGAATAAATGTCATTTATAAATTACTCAATGAATCATTACGAGAACGTAATAAATCAACATAAAAATTTATCTTTATTTATTTGAATTACTTAATGTTCTGTTAATTAATTTTCAAATCATACATTTTATCACAATTATCGTAGATTCTTCTGAAGATTTTATTACGAGTTTACAGTTAACAGTACGTTCGTAATATAGTTAGATAGTGATTCAGAATTGATTATGTACATTCATTACATATTACAAAATCTTGCTTTCAGATATATCATTTTACAATGTTTTAATCTATTTCGAAATAACTTTTTAGCAACTTCTAGTCATGTGCACTTTGTATTAAAAGAACGTGCTTATTAGCAATATAATTTTTAATGAATAGCCGACAATTCTTGTAGGATATCAAACTTTTATGACCTAATTTACAAAAACTGAGATTGACTAAAAATTCACATCTTTTAGTATAGTATTAACATAAAAACTTTTTAAATATTTACTATATTTAATAATACTTTATTTATAAAAACAAACCCTATTTCCTGGGGAATAATTATAATAATTAAGTTATCTATATGTAGGATGCCTCTTCTAAATGGGAACACCTCAATATGTCTGTTATTTTTAGTTTTATGAATGACGGTGATGTTTATGTTCCCAGAGAATGTAAATGCAAAGATACATTGAATTAAGCGGTTTATCTTTCAACATGTACTCCATTTAAGGTAAAGGCACCAATAACTAACCAGTTAAGATTACACAGATATAAAATATTCATTTTATAAATATAAACATTAATGTTAATATTAAACGTATTGAATAATTATTAATATCAATATTAAAATTAAAATTAATATTTGAATATTAAATTTATTAATGTTTATGTTATAAATATACATATTCGTATTGTATTTATGTTTATATTTATAATATAAATATGTTTCTATATCTTTAACTGATCACTTATTGCTACATTTATCTTAATACCTAATAAAATAACTCTTTCCCAGGAAAACTCCACATATATGTAAATACATCCGTATAAAAGCCACAGTTATTTCTTATCCAAAGACAGTTCCACCAATTGCAATTTTAAAATGTTTCGTCCATGTAGTAAAAATAACACGAGCGTCTTCTAAGCTGTAAATAGTTCTAAACGC